ATATGCACAGAGGTATTTGGTTCTGCAAGTTGGTGCTGTGATAGGCTCTTGTTGGCCACCAATAGAACTGGATATGCTTTGCTTGTTTCACTTTATTCTTTGCAGTGCTGGCCTTGTGCACGCTAGGCAAGTGCTCTACCACTGGGCTGCACCCTCAGCCCTATTTTTGCCTCTAGCTGTCTTCTGTAGACTAGGAATTATGCTGGAAGGCTGTGGCTAGAAGGCTGGTGGACTCACTTTGAAGAGGAAGCAAAGTTTGTGGTTTCTAGTTGAAATGGGGATGAGCTGCGACTCCTGGGTGAGCGCGTTCTCCAAGGCAGAACAGAAAAGCTGAAGTCATGATGGGAATTCTGCAGGTAGAATGGGGTACTCTCGAAGGATGGAGTTGGCTGTTGTATAGGCTGTTCTCCCAGTGAAAGATGGAGGGTAAGATGGGAAATCTCCTCACCTTGGATGTTGTGCAGAACTCCAGACTTCTGTCACCCAGTTCAAGTCCTGTGTCTTCTACTTACTGGCGTATTAATCTCTTCTCTGTACTCTGGTTTACTCATGAAGCAGACTGTTGTTTAGGATTGTTACGAGGATTAAACAAATGGAAAAGTGGCTGGCCTCCAGTAAGTGCTATAAGCACTGGCTCTTGTGTGGGTTCCCCACTCTTCATGCTCCCCATTCTCCCCTTTAATCCCATTTCTGATGCTTCCTTTCAGAGTGACACTGTGCCCTTGCCTGCTACAGTTTTGCCAGCTCCTTGGTCCCTAAACCCTGCCCTACGTTTTGGCATCTGCATAGAGAAGGGAGTGTGCAGGGGGTCCAGGTCCCAGTTCTTGCTTGCTCTTGGTTAGTCAGACCCTGTTCATCTTTCTCCTGTTTTCCCTTTTCATCTCACACTTGAACTTGTCAACACATTTTGTGCCCTTTAACTTTCAGTGAGGACCTTAAACTAGGTGAACTTGATCCCTTCAACACTGCTCACCTTTCTTCCCATGCCAGCTTCACTGAGATGTCTGAGTACTTCTGGTTCCATTACTAAGGTGGATGAAAATCATTTGCCTTCCATGCACGTGGCTGACTCACTCATACCTGTCTCATCCATCTCACCTGAGGTACTCCATACCTTTGCCCCTCTCAGTTTCACTCCTCTTTGCCTTCTTTTCTGTGATTTGCTGGGAGGGAATTACATAGCTTTAGGAATTTGATAGGAATGTGGTCCTAGGAAGACTCAAAAGTTCCCTCCCAAGCTATTTCCTCGTTTCATCCTGCTGTTCTGAGTAGGACTGGATTTCACTGTCATTGGTTGAATTGAGCAATGTTCTCTCAGTTCCAAGAGAAAGTAAAACTTTGTGATCGGCTGAGGCAAGGATCAAGTTCTCAGGAGATGGAAAACTGCAAAAATATTTTATAATTCCAACATGATAGTCACAAATATGTATACATATATGTTTATTTTTTAATTATTTTATTTTATTTTATTTTAACATTTATTTAGTGTGTGTGTGTGTGTGTGTGTGTGTGTGTGTGTGTGTGGCCAGCTCAGCCCACCAGGGGGCGCGGCTGGCATGTGGTGCTGGGGGATCGAACCGTGGTCCCTGTGCTTTGCTTAGCTTAGTTTGTTCCAAGTAGGTGCTTTAGACCACTAAGCCATCTCTCCAGCCCTATGTTTATTTTTTGACGACAAAAACATTCAACAGTGAAAGGATTCAGTTACATTTTATTTCCTTTTATAGTTACTAGCCTTTCATTAATCTGACTTCAGTAGAAGTGCCATATTATATATGAGAGTCTTTGTTTCTTCTCTCAGTCTCTTTTGTTGTACTATTATTATTTCTGGGGATTGCTGAGAATGTGGTTGCAAAACAGTAATTTCATTCCCCAAAGCACAAAAACTGTAGAAGTACCTTGATTAGCTTCTCTTTTCCTGTCTTGGATCTGCCATCTTTGGACTACCTATGACTTTCTCAATAGACTCCCACTGTGCTTGTATTTTGCATCTTCTTCCAGATTTATTTCATGCACATTAAATGTATTATTTTCCCTTTTTAAATACATACTGCCTTTTCTTAACCCCACAGTACATTTTGGAGATCTTTAAGTGTATAGAGACATTTGCCATTCTTTTTTATGGCTACAGACTAGTCCAGTATTTGTATATATATCCTACTTTATTTAAGTATTGTACCATAGATGAAGGAAGTGGCTTCCTGATAGATTTTGAGATGAGGTTTCTGAGTAAGAGTGAAGAAGCAGAATCTCTACTTATACAGTGGAGTTTAGACAAGGACAGAGATTGAGTTTACTCCAGTGTTCTTGTATGAAGATTTTTCTATCAAATGAAAAGAAAGATTTGCATTAGTTTTTATTCAGATATTCAGCTTTGCATATATACTTTTTAGTAGTCCTAGAAGAAGCAAGGAGAGTACTATGTGCATTGTTATGAATTATTTTTAAGATATTGGGAGCTCAGTCTTAGGAGTAGGCTTTATATAAATGATTATTGTGAAGCTAGCCAGATGTATCTTGATTCATAAGGGTGATAAAAGGAGGTGATAAATTTGTATTCATCATCTAGAATGAGATTGGAAATGTTTAGGGTTGGGAAAATCTTCCTAAGTGATAAGTAACCCATTGTTTTTCACCTGTCCTTATTTAACAGAAGCCTTTGGAAGTTAAATTTCAGGTGAAAAGAAGGCAGGACTATAACTTTTTTGAGGAAAGATGGCTTATACCTCTTAGCTCATAAATTTTGTTTAATTAACTGAAAAGCATGATCTAAGAATTGCAAAATGTAGTAAAGACAGCCATAGTGCCAGATTGATGTATACATTATACAGAAGTGTATGTATTAAAGCATTAATGTGATGCGATGTTTGGACCATCAGAACATTGGAAGATGAAAGTAATAATTTAGTGAGCAACTTTAAGCTATAAAGTTCACTTTGTGCTGCTTTTTTGAGGGACTGTTTTAATGACCTTGGAAATCTTACTTGTAGCTAAGCATAAGTCTGAAAGTATAAATATTTCTGGTGAGTGAATTTGACCTGTTTGTAAAATTGTTAAGCAGCTAAGCAGCAGACTGTTGTTGGGAGTCTAAAGGGGTAAAAATGACCTTGCGTGCGGGAAATGTCCCAGTGGCCCTTTTCATTGGCCCCTGGGAGGGTCATGAGTGCCTGAGAATGGGAGAAGTCACCTCTGCATTTGAAGCTACTGGGGAGTTCCTTTACTTTTTTTCTGTTTCAAAACCTATAGTTTCTTATTTGATGATTCCTTTGACAGGTTAAATATTGGTTGAATCATACAATATTAACTAAGCAGCTTCCATTCATTCAATTTTTTTTTGAAAAATGGGCTGTAGAAACATTCTTAATTCCTTTCACTTATAATACAGCTTTCAAATTGTAGAATTAAGTGTACAGAAAGTTAGGATTGGCAACCTTGACTGTTCATTTCTTTGAGAGCCAATAAAAAGTGCCAAGTGACTAATGATGGTGATGATGCGGATATAAAAATAGCTAATGTCCCAGTGTTCAGGGCACTTTATATTCACTAGTCTACAGTTTTGTCTTAACATTAAATTAGGATCCTTCACAAAATAATATGTTCAGTTCTCACAATAACTGCTTTAAGATGAGAAGTTGGGAGACATGGACCTAACATGGAAGTCAGATCTATTTTGTTTTTGCCTGTTGGTCTTTAGCTTCCTAAAGTTGGATTTTTCTGGAGGAGGCTAAGACTCTGATTCCACACTCATGAGCTGTCTTGTGGTGACGTAGATGTGTGATGGGCTTTACGGTGGGATTTTCATTTTGGGTATCCATGAGGGATCTGAAGGATACCAGTCTTAGTGTTACTGCCCAGAATCATTATTAATAGAACTCCTACCTTTAGATTCTTAGTTTGAGTTCATCCCCCAGAGGTTTTTTGTTTTTTGTTTTTTTTTTAGAACTATTTATTCAATATAAACTTTTCTTCTTGGAACAAATGTACCACGTTCCAAAATTTTCTTTCCATAACCAGTGTTCCTTGAAACTTTTGCTGTTGATTGTATGCAGATTTCTAGTCATTTTCAGAGCCACTCAGCTGTGATGCTAGTTTGTCATGAAGCATGATTGCAATTACGGAGTAGGATGTGATGGGGCAAGCAGATCCCACTAAAAAGACATTCCTACGGAAATGACTTCTATGTGATGTAACCAGAGCAACCACAAGCAGCTCAAAACGAGCAACTCCATCAAGCTGATAAGTCACCGAACTTGCTGGGGAAATTGCTTCTTTCTATTCTGCTTCGCATCAGTGGTACCCAGTTTAGTAGCTGCTTTTAGCTATAAAGGTTTTTTTTTTCCTTAAAAAAAAAAAGAGAGAATTTTGACTTTAAGTTAAAGATTGCTCTTTGCTTGGAGTTAGGTGAAACATGTCATCATGGCTGCTGACACCAACCGATGGGCCCTGTCCAAGTGCTGCCACATTCCTTAGTTTTATAGGTACTCTTAGGAAAAGTAGACCTGTGGTCCCTCTTCAGCATATCCCTAGAGTCTCTTCTTGTCCATTTTCAGGTAGAAATGTTTTTTTCCTCTAAACCTCCATTTTTTTTTTAAACTCCCTATATTCTTACTATTTTGTAATTCAAGTATTTGTATCTATCAGAAGACTATAGACATCTTAGGGATGTGTCCCATATTATGGCTGTCTTTTTTTTTTTTTTTTAATGTATTTAGTACAGAGTCTACAGGGTCTCACTAGGTAGATCAGATTCATAGTAATCCTCCTATTTTCAGCCTCCAGGTGCTGGGATTGCAGGTGTGCACCACCACGCCCAGTCTCAGGTGCGCTCTTCAACATGCCCTGAGGGCAGGGTCAGCATGGCGCACCAGGGATTGAACCCCTGCCCCGGCATCTGCCGAAGCAGGTGCTCTAATGCCCTTTTTAAACATTAAATATAATAGTAACTTGTCTATCTTAGTGATGCTCTTATTTTGTAATTGTTGTCCTGTTTTTTTCTAATACAGGCCTGCAGACCCCTGTTCCAGAGGTCATTGTTGATGTGGAATCCATGGACATCTTCCCAGTGGGCTGGTGTGAAGCAAATTCTTACCCTTTGACTACACCCCACAAGACAGTCTGTAAGTGTTGCCAGTCAGTGATGACATTCGTGATCTTGGTGAATAAATAGACAATTTTATTTTTCAAAAAATAAAGACGCAAAAAATAAGTGTTGTAGATGTCCCTTTTTAAGTGCCTCAATTGTACTTTAATAATCTGCCATAAGATTGACATTTGGATGAATTTCTCAGGATGAATAAGGAGACAACTGAGGGTTTCAGAGAAATGCAGAAGAAACGCCTGCAGAAATTTTCCCTCCTACTTTTGAATGCAACCATTATTTCTATTGGAAAATTTTAATTAGATACTACATTTTTATATTAGCATATCTTAGAGCAAGCTAACTTCGTCATGCATCATTCTTAAGTGAATCATTCTTCGTACCAATAGTTTAGATACTTAGAAGTGCAATATTGAGCGTACTCTTAGCACTACTACCTAACCAGTGTGAGCTCAACTGGGCTTTAAAAAGTGTATTTATTCACATGTTTTTGCCCACAGGAACCAAATAAAACCAATATTAGTGCTTTCACAACCCTGTCATGCACACACCCACATGCACGCACATTTAAACACATCCAGCAGTGACTTTGGCACACGTGGTTGTTGGTTGTTGTCATGAAATGGTACTGCTTACAGATCATCAAACCTAAGAAGTCTTTGCATTTCTGATTCCACACCAGTGTGAGGCTGAGGTATCACGTAGAAATGTAGAGTTCTTAAAGATAACAGGCTTCAACTTTGTGGTAAAGAGATTATGTTCCTAGTGTTTTCTTCCTGGAATTTCCCTGCCAGCCTCACATCTCTCTAGCGCCCCATTCTGCAGTGGGCTTCTGTGCATTCTCAAGACATCGCTGGAAACAGAGTTGCAGTCTATCATCAGTGTCATATTCCCAGATGGCTGCAGACTTGGAAGGGTCCCTCACTCAGCATTCACTGAGGGCAGTCTGTGTTGGCTACATGGATGAGCAGGCTAAGAATTTGCTTGTTTCAATGGGAACAAAGGAGGATAGGCTCAAGAGTAAAATAATCATTCCACACTCACAGTTTAGAAGTACCTTAAAGTGAGACAAAGCAAGTCCAAGTGGCTCAGACTCACTGGGTGCTATCTTCCCTGGGTGCTGGCACAGAACTTGGGTAGCTCAGTTTTCTTTTTCCTTGTCCCTCATAGAGGACCTCGTATCCATTCTTTTCACTTCTCCTTCACATGAATATGGGAGGCTACATGTGTTCTGTTCTGAAGCATAACCATGTGTTGCAAAAGTGAATGCAGTCCAGTTTCCTCTTGATCTTGCACTTTGCTACTGGGCCTGTTGCTCTGGGCTCCTTGCCAAGGGACCATGGGGCCTGGCCTCACTACGCTGTGCCCTGGACTGAGTGAGGCAAGTTCTTCCCCTTTTTCCACCCCTAGAGTTCATAAAAGTTCATAGATTTTATAGTAACAACTGGAATTGAATACCAAGTAAAGTCAGGAATGGGTGAAATTTTATTGAGTATTTCTCTTACTGATTCTTGCATGCTCTTTTCCTGCCTGTACATTTTACTTTAAGCAGACAAACACTAACTCACTCCTGGCAGATGCTGACAGCTTTAGAAGTTTGAGTAGAATTAATTTATGTGCTTATATTGGAAGAAACTAGATTATCTGAGCCAACACAAATTGGTTTCAAAAGCTCTGGGCTTTTTGTTAAGGTGATCACAATCAATTAGAACTATAAACTGACAACTTTCTTATCCAAAAAGAAAATCATTGTTTGCTGGTTTATGTCAATATTTAGCCCATCCTATCTGACAGCTTCCAGTTCTCCTTCTAGTAAGTCAGTGTTTTACCATAAATGTATGCTTCAGGCTAATTTTGGGGTGCATGATTAGGGTAGCATTATTTGTCTTGTCATAATTTCTGTGGAGAAAATTACTCTAGATCATCATGCTTATAGCAGTTTATCTGAACATGCATTTATGTGAAGTACAACATGTATTGCTTTTCTTTCTTATTAAAAGCACATTTTAAAATAAAGTAACCATTATTGTGATAGCATTCAATGTACTACATTCTATTACAATCTTATTTCTAATACCTCTTTGTTTTACATTAGAAGAAATTGATATGAAATAACTTTTCAGTATTTAAATTATTAATTTAAAATTGACATTTTAAAAATACTAAGCCATTTTTAAATGCATTTGCCAGCCTATAGTATGTGACTGTAATTGCGGAACACTCAGTGGTGAGGCAGGAGGATCACCGGGTTGAGCCCAGCCTGGGCAACCTAGAGAGGCCCTGTGTTAAAACCAGAAAGAAATGTGGTTGGGGGTATAGCTCAGGGCCAGTGTCCGGGGTTCCATCCCCACTACCACCCTCTCCCCTTCAAACATCTGCCCACTAATGATGTTTTCTCCCCCTTTTTGCCTGTCTTACAGCACAAAAGAAGAGAAAGATTGCAGTTGTACAGCCAGAAAAGCAGTATGTTGATTTTTTTTTTCTCCCAAACTACATGGTAAACTGTAACTTGTCTGTCTAGTGTTTTATCAGAGTGAGTTAACAAGTAGCACGCTGATACATGGGACCAGAAAGTTTCAGTACTGTTATTTAGTACACCTACTATGTAAAAAAAATCCTGTGCTGGATTTTTGCACATAGTAGATGCACTAAATAACAGTGCTCCCTAAAGAACCTGAAACCTACATGGTCGTTTCTCATGTTTTGTTTCGTCTTAGCCTTGAGGAATACCCCAGCTTACTCTCCTGAAAGTGGTGCTTTGTGCTAGGCACTCCTGGTGCCACCAGTGGTGCTGGGTGGCAAGTGTAGTTGAGGTCCCTTGGTCCTGTTCCTAATGCTTTGATCTTCTTCTCACCCCTGAGCTGCGGCCTCACCTGGAAGCAAAGGACCGCCATCTCTTCTCAACACTGCCACTTCCCAGTAGGGGAATTTGAGCAAATCACTTTAGTTTTCTGTATCTCTATGGCCTGGTTTATGAAATAACTATTTCTCAAGGGTTTATGAAGCTCAGACTAGATTACATGTGAAAAAAAACCGTGGACTTTGAATTGTTGAATAAATGGAGATTGCCTCCATGTCAGTAGACATTTAATGAGAAAAGAGGATTTAGGGGAAGTGTGCTGCTGCAGACTATGTGAACAGTTGTGACACTGGTGTTACTCTTGTGCATAGTGCAGAGTACTTAAAAAGCCCAAATCTACATTCATACCATGAAAGTAAAAATATATGGCTAGAAAGTTAAATGGAAGCAAGCACTTTTCATGGACTCCTAATAACAATGAATTGAAAGATAACTGCATTGTTATTACAGTGAGAACAACAGTTTTGTGGGAGTCTCTGTGCATTTATTTCTAAATGTACTGTAGCGGGTTCATCGCCTTTGCTTTCCCTACATAATGCCAAAAATACAGCATGAATAGCAGACCGGTGGGCAGATGCAGATCTGCAGTGGTTGGGTTGGTGGTTCCAGCTCCTTCCACTGTGTCAGTCATACAGAGAGTGTGTGAAACCGCAGATTGCTCGGCTTTGTCACCAGTACCTCTGCTTCAGGATGCCCGGGATGTGGCCTGGGAGCCTGCATTCCTGGCAAGCTCCTGCTGATGCTAGCACTGTGCCTTCAGGGCTCACACACTTGGAAAACCACTACTCTAGATGAGCCTTCTGGGCCTCCTCTAAGGATGGCCTCCAAAGTTAGGCAGCTTTTCATTGTGTCCCTTCTGTGCAGGTAGGCTGGGGACCCCTGTGAAACCCAACTCACCTTTCCCCCCAAAGGTTGCACTTAAAAAAAGTGTTCTGCAACTTTTTAAGCTGAACTGTAACAGAGTTCTGTTACAATGCATGTACTTAATATGTTAAGAATCATCAGTTAATAGATTTTTTCCTACGGGCTTTTCAGTGTGGTCATGGTGTGCAGAGGCACAGAGGTCAGAATTCCCAGTTTAGCAGTTAAATGTTGCAAAGGTAAAGTCTGACGTTACTTAAATGTAAGTTAATATTGCCTTATGTTTAAAATGGAACTGAAGACATTGTCACAATCTTGTAACAATAGACCAACCTGGGCGCTAAACATTACAGAAAAATATGAAGCAGCAGCCTGTACTGGGAAGCTGAGTCAGAGAATTTCAAGTTCAAGGCCAGCCTAGGCAACTTTGTGGGACACTGTCCCCCAAAATGAAAGTGGCTAAGGATGCAGCTCAGTGGCCAAGCATCCCTGGATTCTAGTCCCAGTTCCAGAGTGGAGAAAAACCTCACTGATCTCTGGTGGCTTCTCAACATTTGTGCCATGGTTTTTAAAAGGTTTTCAGAAGGATCTGAGAACAGTTTTCTGAAAGGATCCTTGTATTGGTGCTGCTTCCATGCCCACACCGTCTCACAGTGCTGTTAGGTTTCTGGAATACTCTCCTTGAAGTATGAGAAGTGTATTCATTTCTTCTTAAGTTTGTGACCCACGGTGGCTTCTTCTCCTCATCCACAGATTGCCATCCACAGTGCCTGTTGAGAAAATACCTCATGACCTTTGCTTATTCCCCCACCTGGACATGACAGGTAAGTGGCCCCTGAGGAGGCCTCACCGTCCCTTTGCTGTTCATAGCTATGGATGAAGACTTGCATAAATTTGGGGGGCCGTAGGAGTCCATCTCTGCTGTGAGCCCGTTTGTCTCTGTTTCTGCTTATTGGTAGACACTATCTGGCTTTTTGTTTGTTTGCTTCTTTGTTTTAATTTTTGAGCTGAAGTCTTTATATCTTTTTTACTTCTTGTACAGTAGCTCTGGACAGATCTTCTAGATTACAGGAAAAGGATTTACACATTACTTGGCAATTTTGCAGATTTGTCCTGTGTACCACAGGTCACAGTGCAGGACAGGAAAGACCTGAAGATACCGTCAACAAGCATTCCTTTTGCTTTTTTTCTCTCCAAATTTTATCTCAGTTCTACTTTCATTTTTACCTTGGTGATTTTACTTACATCCACTCTGGCTTTTGAATCATCCCTTAAAACCTTCTGAGTTTGAATAGCTGGTTGTAAATAATACTTTTTCCAAGCTTTCAAGTCTTATTTCTCCTAATAACCCCTGAGAAGGCAATTGTGAGCTGCCCTTTGACCACCAAATCTGACACTACATATGTTTGTACATTAAGTAATACTTGATTAAAAATTCTAAGCCAATATGAAACCTGCTCTAAATTCCAGGATTAAAAGCCATGTGCCACAGAAGAATCCTATTAGATGAAGCTATCTTTATAGTGAAGAGGGCAATTTTATGAGTAGACATAACTGAAATTGTTTTTTTCACTAAAAGTCTTGGCAGGATAATCCTACCAAAAAATTTATAAGTACATGCAGCTGTGAATTTAATTATTTTGCCTGTTGTATAGACTTCAAACTTTAGAATGCTTTTACAAAAACTATGTCAGCTATCCTTTCAGAGTCTGTAATGGTAATTGTACTCTTTTTCTTACACCCACAAAGATGACATTTCTGCTTTCTTCGTATTAGTTTTTAGTTGATGTCTTTATGAAAAAAGGTCTCCCTAGACTGCTAAATCACCATCCCAAGTTAGTGACAGTATTTGTGCAGAAATACCACTGTTACTGTAGCTTAGCTTGGGGTAGGAGTTGGGTGGCTTAGTGGAGCGGGCATGGGATGATTGCCTGCGCCAACAGTGAAACTTCACTCTGTGTTTGTAAACATCCATAAGCAATTGTCATTTAATTGTTCGCATATGGCCATGGCAGCTTGAGCTAGAAGGTGACCAACAATGTGCCACATAAACCAAGTTGAAGGAATAAGGACAATGTAGATTTAAACCACCAGGAGATGCAGTTCACCGCTGTCAGATGGCAGTGTAGCAGAGGCTGACAATGCATGCTGTTGTCTTGGACCTGAGACACTGGGGACGCTGATACAGTGCTGATGGGGCTGTAAGTAGGGATTGTCACTGTAGAGAATAATGTGATCACATTTAGTAAGGCTCGAGCTCTACAACCTTGTTGGTTTCCTGCTTTGTCCCTGTAAGATCTCCTGTCCCAGTGGAGAAATAGATTTTCATAGCTGTATTTGTTCAGCTGGGGCTGGCAGTTACTAAAAAAGTAGCAATAACTGCACATCTAAAAGAGAATCCATGACTACACCACAGTGTCGTCATATAGCAGAGTAATACACGGAAGGGAAAAATGAATACATGTTGTAGCATTTGGTGGCGAATGTTTCATAGTTTTGCCTTAAGAAACTTAAGTAAACAAAGTGTTGTGAAAAACCATTTATAGAACATTTTAAAAATCCCAAATGAAATATGTATCACTTGTGTGCACACATAACGTACCTGTGCAGTAGAGTTTAGGAACTTTCTTGCGCTTGCCAGGGAAGCGCTTATTCTACTGAGCCATCTCCCCGGCCCCTTGCATGGGAATGATAAGCACCAGACTCAAGCTGGTGGTGACCCCCCAAGGAAGGGGAACTCTCTCTTGTGGGAGAACACAGAGGACCTCTGCTTTGTGGCTGATGTTTCTCCTTGAGCTGTGTAGTGACAGCTGCCTAGCTCTTGTCATAGTCCTTGTCCTGATGTTAGGACACAAGGTAGCTTTCTCCAAAGAGGGGATCCAGACTCCCTAGAAGTCCAGATGCTGGACAGCTGCTTGGTAGGTTTGCAGGCCCACAAGCCCCAGAGCTGTGACGCCCCATTGTCTCCCTGCAGGACCTGGCAATGGGAAGTACTGCTGCCCGCGGCTGTTCATCAACCACCGGTGTTTCTCGGGCCCATACCTGAACAAGGGCCGGATCGCGGAGCTGCCGCAGTCGGTGGGGCCCGGCAAGTGTGTGCTGGTTCTTAAGGAGGTAAAGTGTACACCCCATGGTGGTTGGCTTGTTCTCATGGGACCTGCATGCCATAGACAGATACTACACATCTGCATCCATTTGGTTCTCATTTACCAAGTACCTCTTTTCTCACATCCTGGGGCTGAAAGTTAGAAACACAAAGATCAAAGAATGAGGCTTCTGCCATAAAAGATTCCATCTAATGGACGTACTTCCTCCCATAAGTTAGTTAGCAGGGAAAAGCATCACACTAGATTGAGTCAGTTTCTTTGGGAAGATAGGAGATCAGTTAATTGGGTGTGGCTGTAGGCTTCTAGCTGAGGGTCAATTGCTCTCAAAGAGGAAGCCAGTGTGGAAGGGCAAAGAGACCTCATTTGGCTGCGAGAATTAACACCGAGAATGTGCAGTTGGCTCCAGACGTGGTGAGCATCCACTCAAGTGGGCAAGATGAGCAGGCGAGTAGACCATGACTGGGCATCCCAGGAGCTGATGGAGATGTGTGTGGTAGCAAAGGTGTCACACCCCACTTGGGGGAAGTGAAACAGGCACCTGGTCCAGGTGTAGAACAACACAGACAAGGCGGGGGCATCCAGATCTGGGATGATAGGAGGGGAAAGCAGGAAGGATGCGCAGAGCACCTGGGATTTGGGGACCGCAGATGCAGCAAGCAGCCAGCCCCTCCCTGAGTCTCCTACATTCTCTCTTAGCGGGAGATTGGAGCTACTTTCTACATAGCTCACTGGAGTATAATTTGGTTTTATATCTGGAAAACAGTATGGATTGTGTGCATCCTGAGTGGCAAATAGGTTCCACAAATGATAGGTTTGTAGCTAAAGAAAAGTAGTGATTGTGGGCCAGGCAGGATACTTGGCACTGCTCCAGATGAACTGGCAGATTGGGACCACTGGTTCACCTGACCACATAAATTAACATTTAACATAGATCCTTGCAGATAGGAAACTTGAGGAAACAGTCAAGCCAGCTTAGGTGTAAGAATCTGTTTCAGTAAGATGGAAAGCCCTATGTGAGAAGTGGCTTACTTCAGTCTGCCCCCGCTCTGCCTGAGTAGACCTCTGCTACATCAGTGTTGTCTGCCTGTGCTGGGTCCTGGTTTTGAGTGATAGCTTTGGAGCACAAAAACTGACAGAAACAGTGAGTTGGGTGTGCTTCTGTGGAGCTGCCTGCGAGCCTGCTCCACACGGTGGACAGCAGTTATAATATGAACTCTGCCATCACCCACCAGCTGTGCTAACAGACACGTGGCCCTGGCCTCCACCTCGTCTTAGGAGCCCGTCGTTTTACTTTACTAAAGGAGGTTTTTCTAACTCACAAGTAGTTATCTCTGATCAGTTCTCTGATAGATACCCCCAACCAAATTTAAAAATCCAAGCCAGAATAGTTTCTGATGACAAAAGAAGTTTTTTTGCTGATGATTGGCAAATGCATGCAGAAAGGAAGAAGGAAGGGGGTGGGGTCAAGTGCTTCAGTTCTGTGAGTGCAAGAAATACTATGTTGGTTCCACTGAGCCAGTATTTGTGCTGATGCGTCCTCCGGTACCAGAACCTCTGCGTGGCTCAAATTTCATCTTGTTTAAAGAGAGCGAAGTAATGGAAGCAAAGACAGAGCGTGTTGCTTTTCCAGGTCATATTAGCGATTTGAACACTTTTGTATCTTCAGAAAATATGAGAGTTATTTTCCCTGTGTCCAGTCCCCTAGGAGTAGATAATTTTGTGAAAGCAGATACAAAGCTGGCCTTACAAAATGGCAAATTCTGGCTTGGAAGTAGTGTCCGAAACACCTTCCAGAGGGACTCTGTACTAGGAAGAAGGATGTTTCTGGCAGAAGGGACTGCTCGTGCATGTGTCTAGGCACTTTCTGGCTGTTGGTGGAGTTGGGAGGGTCCCAGACAACTGTCTGGTTTGGGTTGCAGGTAAGGTCAGGGTGGTGACTTGGAAGAGGATGGCCTGAAGTCAGTAAATGATTGTTCAGCCCCAGGCATCCTCCAAATTAGGCTAAGAATTGGCCAGGCCTCTGTCTTAAAGGGTAGGTAGTTCTTATGTTGGGTACTTGACAGAGGTGTGAAGGGCGGGCCTGGCCTGATAGATACAGATGGTGATAATGGTGCTTACTGTAAGTCAAATCTGTATACCCAGGAGGCTCAGTGCACTTGGTGCCATCCATTTCCATCCCAAGTGCCCCTACTCTCCTCTATCTCCAGTGTGCCAGGGTCCCCAAAGACAGCTAAACCAGATCTTTGTAGCATCATGTGATGAGTGTGTCCAGTGACAGTCTCTTATTGGCCATTGTGTTCCTAGTGCATTGTACCCCAAGACGATGACATTCTTCTTCATGATTGAAATGCCATTTCCTAGGTCACAGGTCTGCCTATCATGTTTACTTTATGTTCATGATATCAGAAAGGGGATGAATAAACCTCTGTGGACAAAGGAGACGAAAAAGGAGGGGGGTGCATGATTTACTTATGCAGATCATGGTGTCCTGAGATGAACATGTTAGCTTCTGATACAAACACATGGTGGAAATGGTAGCAGACCAGCCACAGGCTGCTGGGGAAGAAGCCCCTGAAAACCACCCTGCAGGACAGTTACGGAGCCTCTGACCTAAGAAAGAGACTCAACCAGCCCTGCACAGAACACCCCAGAAGAAAATGCCAGAGTTGCTTGCACAGATCTGGGCAACATCTATGCTGTTTCTCTGAAGCTATTTGGTTTAAAATTATGAAAAAAGAGTAGCATATATTTCAAGTGGGGGCTGTTTAGGAGTCCCTCTTCCTGGGGTCCCCATCAGCACGAGCTGTATCGTCTGCTAGTTGCTCTCATTGCTTTAGCTCCACAGCAGCAGATATGACCTGTCCTTGTGGGCAGCCTGGGCTCCAGAGACTAAGAGATAAAGCTTTTAGAGGAAGGGCTAACAAACTATACAGTTTCTGTTAAAAGGTAGAGTTCCAACACCTGGTGTTATTCTCCCCATTTTCTTCTTTCTGGTAGATAAAAGATTTAGATGAAAAGCACATGGGAGGGCCATCCAGATAGTTCAGCCAATGAAAGCATCTGCTCAAGCAGAGTGCAGGGACCAAGGTTCAATCCCAGCGTGCTGTGCTGGCCCTGCCCCCAGGGCGTGCTGAGCTGGTGATTGAGACTGGGCATGGTGGTGCACGCCTGCAATCCCAGCACTTGGGAGGCTGAAAACAGGAGGATCATTAGAGTCTGATCTGTGTGGTGAGACCCTGTAGACCCTGTCCTAACTACATAAAGAAAAGAAAAGCACATGGGGCTTGAATATGTAGGAAGCTTCAAAAGTAACAAATGATGAACTTCTGTGAGCTTCTCTCTTACTCCCAGTGTGGCATCCCACCCCCGTAGGTGAGATGTCCCCAAGTGGCGATGAGACCTGCAGTTTTGCAAACAATCATGAAACTGTATGGCGGGGTGGTGAGGTAGAGATGGGACTGGGTAGCAGTTTTGGAGTTGCCAAGGTGAGGGCTTATTCTAGATGGGAAAGAACAGATACTCACCCAGCATGGTCCCACCTCACCTGCTCAATTATGATCTGCCTGCTTGTCTGTCTGTCTATCTGCCTGTGTACCCCCAGTCAGCTATCTATGTCTTTCATTATCATCTCTCTTATTTATCTCCCTACCCACCTGTCATATTCCATCATTATTACATTATTATCTACTATCATCATTACCACTTTTTCTGTTGTCATCATCATCTATCAGGTATCTTGGTATCTTATCTTTAATCTCCATCTATCATCTGTGCATCCATGTAGCTGTTGAGTACATCTTAGAGTCACTTTGATATCCTCCTCATCAACAGCCTGGTTATGGAATGCAGAGGTCAGATATGACCAGTTAAGCTTTCCTAGAAGTTTAAAAAAAATATGATTAATATGCAAAAAGTGACTGTGGAAATCATTGCCAGCTGTCAGCACTGGTGTCAGATGCCAGCAACTGGTCTTAGCTAGGTGCCGACATCGTCTCTCTGCAAGCCGTTTTTCTTTCTTTCTTTTTTTCTTTTTTCTTTCTTTCTTTCTTTTTTTTCTTTTTGGTGGAACCAGGGATTAAACTCAGGCCCTTACGCTTGCCAGGGAAGTGCTTATTCCAGTGATCCATTTCACCAGCCCCTCTTCTTCTCTCTGTTTCTTTGGTCTTCTTAGCTTTGTAGAGCACGTGAAGCCCTGTGCTAGAATCAAGGGTCTCATTGAGCAAGCACGGTGGTAGCTGCCTCCCTGGTTGACAGCCCTCCCTGCAGAGAGGAGGGGTTAGCTTCCTACCCTACTAGGGCTGCCTTGTCTAACCCAGGAACAAATACACAGCTGGAGGTCTTTGCCTTGTTACCTTAGTTCAGTACCCAAGCCAGAGCTCTGTGTCATCAAGGTCAAGAGAGTAGCTGTGGGCTCGACAAGTCAGAGGATAGAGTTGTCTTCTCAGAGCAGCCTCTTGTGGGACCCCTACCTCATGTCCAGTCTCCACTTCACTTGAGCTGCCCTCAGCTAGGGCCTAGGCACAGCCCTCTCACTGGCCAGCATGAGTTGAGGAAATGGGTCAGCTCTGCTCTACTCCTGTTTATGACTCTGAAATTGTCACAGGCAATTTGAGAAACAGGCCAGTCACCCGGAGGATGAGGCTTCAGAGGCCAAGCTAAGGACTTTGCTTTTGTGCCAAAAGGGAAGAGTTCTGAGCAGAGGAGCAGCCATGTGGGTGGCACGTGGGATCTAGAGTTGCCTGGCCATTGCCTAGAGGAGTGGGAACAGGAGGGTGAGGGAAGCAGGTGGCTTCTTCACCATTGATTGACAGGACCACTCAATACTGGGAAGATGTGGATAGAGAAGATGCTTTGGACTGGGTGGCCAGAGAGGACCTCAGGGGGAAAAGAAGATCCACCAAGGGCAGACAGTTCTTAAGGATGTTACTGTTAAAAGAGAGGAAAAAAAAAAAAAAAAAAGAGGCAGGTGGCAGGACATAAGAGATGGAGGAGGAGAGCTGCTGTTCT